TGTATGTTCACACCATCACACAATAGCATATAATTTAAATTGACCAAGCAATAGGGGATTCAAATGAGACTTAAAGTATCTTTTTTTGTTTTGGTGCATAGCAGGTTCATTTTTCACATTTTTGACCTATTTCGGTCAACCGGTGGCTTGTTTCAGTCGACCGATGGCTTTTGATTTTCAATTGCATAGTAAAAAGTCCAATTCCAGTAGCCAATTTCACTTCGAGCCCCAAATAGGTCAACCGGTTTGTCATTTTGGTCGATCGAAATGAAGTCTCCTTTCCCTTCTTTTCTTGGCTCACTTTGGTAGACCGAAGCACCATTTCGGACGATCGAAATGGTGCTGCCTTGTGGATTTTGTTTGGTTTGTTTCCTCGACAGGTTAGCTCTATTTATTCGTTCCTACAGGACCTTGTTTATCTTTTCTAAGCCATTTAATGGTGCACCTGGTTTAGTTTGGGCTAGATCTTGTTTGTTTGGTTATCATTGGTGCCATAGGGTACCATTTGACTCTTTGCTTTTAGATTTCGCTTTCGGTTATTTCTTTAAGTTCCGTGACTTCATGGAAGGTCACATTAGTGTCTTAGGAATGATTTATATCTCAAAAGACTATGGTTTTATCTTTTGTTTCTGCATTTCAGATCCGCTATCGGATGAACTTTCGATTCATCACTGACACATCGGGTTGAAAAACTTGGGCCTTCACATGGTATAAGTAAAATTGCTTGGACCACCAAAATTTTCTAACTGTAGCAACTCGAGAAAAATTTGGGGTGTGGCCTGGTGGCCTTTCACGCTTTCTAAGTGTAGCAACTTGAGAAAGGTAGTATGAGCAAAATTGCTTAGACCGCTAATTTTTCTAAGTGTAGCAACTCAAGAAAAATTTAGGGTGTGGCCTAATCGCCCTTCAACCTTTCTAAATGTAGCAATTTGAGAAAGGTGGTATAAGGAAAATTGCAAGAACTGGCAATTTTTTTAAGTGTCGCAACTCGAGAAAAATTTGGGGTGTGGCCTGGTGGCCCTTCACTCTTTCTAAGTGTAGCAACTTGAGAAAAATAAAAATAAAAAATACATACGTTGTTGACTATTGATTTAATTATATCCCAATTGAGTTAGTAGTGCATTGAAGGCTTTCATTCTTGATAAAGGTGGATAACAAACCCCTTTCAGTAGGTAGCCGGGATTCTAGCCTCATCAAGTACTGAATTTCTCGCGCTGAAATGTGGATGGCCCAAACTCTAGGTTAAAAAATAGAAATAAAAAATAAAAATAATATAATGTGGACTTCTCCAAAAAGGTGAGAAGTGGGAAATAATTAGATGGAGGTTGTTTTGATTTGTAGCCTAGTTGATTTGAGCTTGTAAGTCCTTAGGGGTGTTTAAACACCTCACACCCTAAAGCCGTCCGGTTTGGGAGTCATTGACCTAACGCTCAACCTCATGGATCGCTAAAAAGCTTAATAGATCAACATATTGCACCATACTTCCATCTTTTATCCTCTAGGTTAGCAAAAAAAAAAAGAAAAGAAAAAAAAAAAAAAAATCGAGTGGAAAGAATAAGTGCACCTAGATTAATAAAGTTCTAATAAAAGGTCCATTCTTTGTCTAAATGATCGGTACTAGATTTGTGTGCTAGTTTGAGGCCGGATGTGATAATTTCTTTGGTTGACTTAGATAGCAACATATTTGAAGCTGATTCACTTAAAAAGGATTCTAGAGTTGTTTTGATTTGCATGATCGTTATTTTGATGTGTGGAGGACTATATTTACTTGCTTCTTGTTAAAATTTTGGGAGATTGTTTGGAAAGGGTTGAAAAATTGCATACTTGAGGTAGTTCTCTCCCAATGCTTGTTTTGTATATTGGTGCCTCTTTAGTGAGAAAGAGCTCAATGTTTGTGGGTATCATTTCTAGAAACCCTCACGAGACTTCACTCGTCCCCTCGGCGTAACCTAGGGGTTTAAAAGGCTTGTTGTATAAGCTAAATGCAATCGTGTTTCCTACGAAAGTGGCGTTATCATTTTATTGCTTTCTAGTTCATAGTTATTTAGTTGTTTATTTGTTTATTTTTCTTGTAGTTCATTGCTAGGGACTGGCAATATCTAAGTTTGGGGGTGTGATAAGTGCTGAAATATGATGCATTTTAGCATATAAGATAGGGTATTTTAGTCCATTCACCTATCGTACTTTTATATCTTACTACTTATTTTTGGTTTTGCCTATTTTAGGTCAATAAAGTTTAAACAGGCTAAAAAGAGCCATTTAGCTCAATTTTGAAGCTAAGGAGCAAATTTGAAAGAAGTCAAGAAAATTACACCAGAGGAACTTTAATCGATCGAAGGAAGTCCCGATCGATTAAAGTCGGCAACAATCGATCGAAATGAGGTGGTGCCAGCTCGGCAAAGTGGATAAGGCTAAGAAGATATTTTTTATGGCACGCCATCTTCGATCGATCAAAGCTAAGTGTTTGATTGATCAAAAAACTTTAATCCATCGGGATGACTGCTGGAAGTGTGCTGTCTAATTCCCAAGCACGCCGAATTCTACCTAACTTGTGTAGCTGCGAATTTCCTCTGATCATAGGCTATATTTTTGACTTGGTGCCTACTCAAAGAGACTTGTAATAGATTAATTGAACCATATTGTAAAAAATATCATATAGTTTTACTTATCAATTATAGAAATAGTTTCTCTCTCTAGAACTAGGGTTTTGGGAATAAAGAAAGGTTGAAGATGATAATCCCAACCTCCAAGCTAGCCTGGAGGGTTCCAAAACCACTACAATGAGTGGCTAAATCCTTCTCTTTAGGCTAAAGATAGCCCCTAGGCTTGCTTCCTAAATCTAGCTTTTGTGTATTTTTGGGGATTTGAGTTGTAATTGATGTTTTGACCATGAATAAATATAGATCTTGTGATTTTTACTTGATTTGTATGGATTAATGCTTTCAATTGATCATTTAGTTCTATCCATATGTCTTTGTATGCTAGAATGAATGTTCATATATTTTTCTCTAGATTTAATGAAATTGAAGCATGTGTATGTGTTTTGATGTTGTCAATCTAGCTATGGTCAAGGCATAGTGCTTAATTTAATACTCTTGTGGTTTATTTGATGGTTCATACTTATTTCTTGATGGATTGTGCCACACCCTTAGTTTAATTAGCTTAATTTTCATGTCATTAGCTTAGTTGTAGTGTAATTGCTTTAATTTCTTAGATAGATGGACAATCCATTCTTGTTGCTTAATGTTCCATACTTATAAGTGCAAGGAGTACATGTCTCTAGATTTTGTGTGTGCACTAATTGTGGTTTAATTAAATGGTTATTGGTCTCATTTGATAGGTTGTGCTATTCACTAGATTGACTAGACAATCTATGCTTATTTGCCATCCATTATGCTTTGTTTTCAATTGGTGTCACACACACACATTTTACAACTTAAATGTCCCCATTAATTTACAATTGCTAGTGTTTGGTGAAGTGAAGCTTAGTAGTGAACTCTAAGCCCCAAGACCTTCCTCTTATATATCTTTCCCTAATTTCTAGATTGTTATTTAGTTACATTGTTTTTAATTGAACCAATAGTTTAACCAAATTAAATCCATCTTTTGATCATTTGACCTACTAATCCAACATTAATTCTAAAGTATCATTCATTTCCCTTGGGACGATCCCTATTCACTCTCTCTACATTAATAGTTAGTAGTGGTAATGACATTCTATAAATTCAAGCTTGGCCACACTTTACCACAATTGTGCTTTGGTACTTGACGACACACCAAGTTTTGGCGCCGTTGCCGGGGATTTGGCAACGCCGTATTTTGCAATTAATTAAGGATTAGTACTCTTGATTTTATCTTTATTTTATTTTACTTTGGTTACTTATTCTGTTTGTTCTTGATTGGCTAGGTACATTGAGCCAAGGGAAGTGAAGACAAAGGATTCTAAAGTAAAGAAGTAAGCTAAGCTAAGCAAACCAAAAGCATAAAAGGCTAAAAAAAATAAATAAATAAAATTTGCAAGCAAAGCAACGCAAAAATTAAAAATAATTTGAATTTATGAGCTTTTTTAACTCTCACTTAGTTAAATCGTCGGCCCGCGTGGTGGCAAGTTTTAATTTCTTAGATAGATTGTGGACACCTGAGGAGGTAATTTATTTTCTTGCATATTGTTGAAAGCATGGGAGTATGGGATCAATGTATGTGGAGGTTTGTTGATTATCTTGTTGCGGAGGAGAAGTGATTGTTATTTGCTACTTGCTAGTTGTTGTTTGTTTTGATTGTGCATGCATGGTCATAGGGCATTGAATCCTACTCTTTTCCTATTAAATTTGAATCTTAAATCCATTGTTCGTAATCCTAGGGGAAGGGGTAATTCCAGTGACTCCATTTCATCAACAGCGGAACATAACGAGGACCATGTGGAGGACCTTGGTCACATCGACCAACAAGGTAATCTTCACCCTAATATGCATCAAGATCATGATAACATTCAAGTATTATTAAGCATGCCTAGACCTTTCCTTCCACAACAATAAGGCCAAGTTCCAATGGGAATGCCTCGGCCATTTTTTGTTCCACCTCCACCTCTTGTTGTTTAAGCAAATCATGGTGCTCGTGTCGAGCCACCAGTTGTGAATCCGCCCCTTGCTTTAAGAGACCATTATGTGTCAAATGAGTATAATACACCAATATGTATTCAATTACCTCCATTTAGAGCACACCGTTATGAGATTAAACCATAAACAATTCAAATGCTTCCCAATTACCATGGGCTACTAAGTGAAGAACCTTATAAGCACTTGGATGAGTTTCTTGAAGTGTGTTCCATCGTGAAATACACGGATATGCTGGAAGAGGTTTTGAGGTTAAAACTCTTCTCTATCACCCTTAAAGATAAAACAAAATACTAGTTTAACAATTTGAGGCCTTTTTTGATAACTTCTTAGGCAGAGATGTAACAAGAGTTCTTGAAAAAGTACTAGTCGGTATCAAAGACCAATGCAATAAGAATTTCAATTCGAGAATTCTCACAAGGGGAAGGGGAAATGTTTCATGAGGCATGGGAGTAATTGAACGATTTGCTTAGGAAATGTCCACACCATCACATCCCTAAATGGCAATTGGTTCAATTCTTCTTTGAAAATTTGTCAGATAATTATAAAGGAATGGTTGATGCTTCTATGGGTGGTTTTTATCTTGATAGGCATGAAGATGATATATGGTGCTTATATGAGACCATGAGTGAGAATTCAATGCATCGATCTTTTATCATCTAAAAATGGTAGAAATGTAGGTGGAAGGAAGAATGTTGGCTTATATCAAGTTGACCATTCTAATGATATAGTCGCCGAAGTGAAGTCTTTAAGCCAAAGGTTTGATCAATTTTTGATCAACCAAAATTCGGTGAACCAAGTGTCTTCCTCCCTTAATCATACTTATCATCCTTCTAATGAATCGTGCATGACTTGTTCTAGTGTTTTACATTCTACTTCCAATTGTCCTCTTGGATATGCGCAAAGTGAACACCACGAACAAGTGAATGCCGTTTTTGTTAACCAAGGGAATAATACCTATGGCACTTACTATAATGCCGGGTGGAAGAACCATCCAAACTTCTCTTAGAAAAGCTAAGGGGAAGGCTTAAACCCTCCCTAAAGTGGTTTCCAAAGTAAATATGTTCTACCCCCTTTGCAAGGCTAAGGTTCCCAAGGTTATCACTCATCTTACCAAGCACCAAATGGAAACTAATTTTTAAACTCTCATTTTCCAAATCAATCTTCATATTCTCAAGGAAATTCAAGGAGTCCCGCATTTGAAGAAAAAGTTCTAACTGCTTTGGGTACTTTGGAAGCAAACACCCAATTGCTTCATTCTTATTCCCAATTGATTGCAAAGCTAGAAACCTAAGTCGGGCAAATAGCTAGTACATTGAATGTGAGGGAGAAAGGGAAAATGCCTTTGAATCCACCACCCAAGCAACAATTTGTAGTGGAGATCAATTGCTCTTCGGAAGGTCATACACTTGAACATGTGAATGTGGTAACCACTTTAAGAAATGGAAGAGTTTTTGACAATCAAGTTGGTGTTCCCAATGAAGAGAGTGAACCGGTGTAACCCAAAGTTGACACCCATCCCATGTCACATTCTATTCCTCCTTCATTGCAAGTGAAAGAATCTAATGTTGAAAATGTTGAAAAAATTTATTTTAAAAAATTTTTTGAGCCTAAGGCTCCATTTCTGGATGCCTTAAAAGCATCCACCTCTCTTGAAAAACAACAAAGTAAGACTAATGAAATAAATTGATGTGTTTAGGCAAGTTAAAATCAATCTTCCTCTATTTGATGCAATTCGACAAATTTTGGCCTATACCAAATTTTTGAAAGATCTTTGCATCCTTAAGAGGAAGAACAAAAGCCAAGCACCGAAAAAAGTTATCTTAACCAAGCAAGTAAGTTCAATCTTGCAACAAAACACCCTCCCAAAATGCAAAGACCCCGGTTCAACAACCATTTCTTGCACTATTGGTAATCATGTTATTAATCGGGCTCTTCTTGATTTAGGAGCGAGTGTGAATCTTCTCCCTTATTCAGTTTATGTTCAATTGGGCTTAGGTGATTTGAAACCGATGTCAGTTGTTTTGCAACTAGCCAACTGATCAATTAAGAAGCCCCGGGATATCATTTAGGATGTTTTGATTAAAATTGACAAGTTCTTCTTCCTGGTTGATTTTGTTGTCATTGACACGGAACCGGTCCCATATCCTAGAAGCCAAATTCCCATTATCATTGGCCATCCTTTCTTGGCTACCGATAATGCCAACATTAATTGTAGGACGGGAATAATGAAGATTTCATTTGGTCACATGAAAGTGAAGTTGAACATTTTTAATCTAACCCCGAATTTAATGGACAAGCATGAGGAGATATGTGTTATTGAAAAATGTTTTAAAGATGAAAAAATTGAGTATTTTCTTCGTGTTGACACTCAAATGATTTATCTTCTAAAATGATTTCAAAAGATATTGTTTCATAGTCTAATGTTGAAAGGGCATGGATGCCCAAAAGTTTTGTTGATAAAGGGCCATCAATTTCTTTTGAACCAAATCCAACAAGTTCCTTTGGGAATAGTTTGTTGGGTGGGGTTCAAAGTTCTATTCACCCCATCAAGGAGGGGATGCATACCAAGATTTTTTATCCGGGCTAAAAGAGCCCAACGTCTTGCGACGTTAAAGACTAGTGTGTTTCGTAGGGTTTGCCAACCCTATTCCTCCCTCATCTCTTGTTTTAATATTTTCTGCGTCGTCTAGATATGAGTTGAATTGAAAAATCCAGCTTCCGGGCAAGTTCTTGCATTTTGTATACTTCTAGTGAAGTTTTGATCGATCGAACTCCAGTTCGATTAATTGAAATTCCACTTCAATCGATCGAACCCATTGATTTTGTGACTTTTCACCTTCCATTTTGATTGATCGAAACTCATCTCAATCGATCGAAATCCATTTGGATCGATCGAAAGTAAGTGTTTAATCGATCGAAACCTTTCAATCGATCGAAAATGCGTCATTTGAATTTTCAAAAAATGCTTTGACCCTTCCCTTTCCCCCTTAACCCTAATTTTTTTTTTCTTTTTCTTTTTCTTTTGTCTCTCCTTCCCTAGTTTTTTTTTTTCTTTTTTCTTTTTCTTTCTTTCGTCTCTTTCTTCCTCTTTCTCTCTTTCTTCGTATTCTCTCTATCTCGACAAACCCTACCTCCCTCTTCTCTCCCCGATTGCTCAAGCTCTCCCTCTCACCTCTCAATCTCAATCTCTCTCATTCTCTACCCCACAACTGAGAACCACCACCCACTCCTTCTTCTTTTTCCAGCGCCGGCAAGCCCAAGGGAAGCTCCATCTTCGCCGCCACTTGCTTCCATTTTTACTGGCGAGATTTTTGGCCCAAAAGTGACCAAAACAATTATATCTCTCTTTTCTCTCTTGGATTACATTTTCTCCATCATCTGTAGCCGATTTAGCCTAAGGAGAGGCCAAATCCAACTCCAGTGATTTTCTGAAAATTCTGGCAAGTCTCTGGTCGTCTTCTCTGGCCACAGTGACCGAAAAACCTCCCTTTTGATCTGAATCTTTTCGTTTCACTCTTCTCTACTCTCTTGTAGATCAGGTATGTTCCATATCATTTTATTTTTATTTTTATTTTTTTTTTGTTTATTTTATTTTTGTATTTTGTTTTGTTTTCATTTTATTTTGCATTTTGCATTTTATTTGTCATTTGTACATATGTTTGTGAATGTAAAAAATTTGGAAAGCAAATGAAAATTGAAAAGAATAAAAAACAAATAAAAAAGGAAAATGCAAAAATTGTTTAAAAATTTTGGAACAATTAAATTTGGATTTGCATATTTGATTTTGGTTGCATGGTGATAGGAACACATTGAAAAAAATTGGAGAATGAAATGATTTTTGTTGAGTAGTGTAGAAGGAGAATGGGCAATTGTTTACTTGGATTTGTGGATTGATTGTGTGTGGTGTCCCTTTTTTATTGTTGAATGCATTTAATTTGAAATCATATATTCTTGATTGTTGATTGTGATTGAAATGAATGTTTGTTGTGTTTGGAAATTTTGGAAATGACCATTTTTAAGGGGAAACCATGCGAATTTTTGAGAAATTCAATTAGAACTTTGATTTTGCACTTAAAAAGGCATGTGGTTTGTTTTTAAAACTTGAAATGGAATTTGAAAAGAATTTTGAAGTTATGAAGTTTGGAATTGAATTGAAAAGAAAGAAAATTTTTAAGTTCTTTGAAAATTATTTTGAAAATCTGACGTAACGACCTGGGTTTTTCAACCCTGGTGCATCAATGATGACCCGACAATTAACCCGATAATGGATCTAGATGCGGAAGCAAAAGGAATAAGACAATGGTCTCTTGAGGCAAAACACACCTCTAAGACCTTAAGATGACCTTCCATGAAGTCACGGAACTCAAGGAAATAACCAGAAGCGAAAACTAGAATGAAAAGGTCAAACGGTACCCTATGGCACCAATGACACCCAAGGGAACAAGATCTAGTTCAAACTACACCATGTACGCCTTAAATGGCTCAAGCAAGATCAACAAGGTTAAGTGGAAGTAAATCAATTGGTACAAGCTTGAAGGAGCAACAACCAAACAAAATCAACAAAGCAGCTGAATGTGGGCTATTTCGGTCTGCCGAAACTCACAGAAACATTTCTGAAGTCTAAGTTTTGAGGCAAGGCTGGTTCGGCAGACCGACTTGAGCCAGCGGTGGACCGAAATGGAGTTTCGGTCAACCGAAACTTCTTGAAAACTACTGAAAACTCTATAAAACATGTGAGATTTGCAAGGGAACCTATGGAATTCATTTTATGCACATGCATAGGTCAACAGCTGATCCTTTTTAAGGAGAAATGAGCATGTGAACATGCACGCAAGTGTAAAATGGCATTTAAGACGCGTCCCAATGGTCCGCGGCCTCAAAAGAACCCCAATGCAAAATGTAACCTCTCAATGGCCAAAAATGCCTATAAATGCAATAAATGAAACCAAAATACGAAACCTAGAATGAAATGGTGTTTGGCCTTTGGCCACACGGCCTTTAGCCACACTTTATACATGATCATAGAAACTCTATGAAAGAAAAAGAATGGAATTCCCACACCCAATGCAAAAGTTATGAAACAATGACTTAGCATTTTACAATATTTTCATAATAAACCTTGAAAATGAGAGTGTATAGAGTACAAACTTGATGCCATTAGCCTATGGCCTTAACTCATACATGTCAAATACATTACGAATGAGTGTACTTATGTACACATTACATAAATGAAATCAAGGAGTACAAGTTTTGACATACAAAGCTACGAATAGGATTTCATGCCAACATTTTCATGAAAATAATACTCCAAGACTACTAAACTTCCATAGCATAGTGTGCATCCCAAATCAATGTCCCTGTACCTGAAAAATGTCCCCACTACGTGGGTGAGTAACTTAAAGCTACTCGTAGGAGATGAGAATGTATCGACGTAGTAATTCACAATTATATCACCTTAAGGTGAAATATATTAAAGGGGCTCACACCACCT